TCGCCCGCCCCCGCCCAGTGGGTGCAGGATCAGGGCTGCCGGGGCTGGTAGGACCGGAGCTGGCCGGCCAGTACCTGCCCGCCGGGAAAACCCGGGCTGGGGCCGGGGTGGGGATGCACTGCCGGGACCTGCAGAAATGTTCGCCCACGGCTTTTAACTAGGATCTCGGACAGCTCCAGAGAGGGGCGACTGCGCAGCCCGAGCACTCCCTCCTCGGCCGCTCCCGCCTTGAGGAAGGACCTGCTTTGCAAAAGGCCCAAATCTCCAGTCTGCAGTACCTCCGCCGGGTGTGGGCTCTGGCCAGCCTTTGGGGAGCACACTGGCCTGGACGTGGGAGGAGCTGCAGCAGCTGCACAGGTCACACCTAGCCCAGGGTAGAGCCCTCTGGGAGGAGGGGTGAGCAGGGGCAGCCCCGGGGCGCGGTGGACTGTGCAAGGGTCCTGGGGGCCGTGGGCGGGCTCTGTGGAGGGACTGAGGTGGCCCTCCTGCACTTGTGGAGGACGGGAGTGGGGAGCCAAGGGAGGGCTGGCAAGAGGCTGTGAGGGTCTGGGACACAGTTCTGACCCTGAACTTAGAGACGAGTTTCTACGTAGAAAGACTTGCCTTGGGCGGTCGCTGGTGACCGAGGGGTGAAGTAAATTTTGGGTGTGAGATGGCAGTGGTCCTGGGTCTATTTATATAATGAATAATACACATTCATCATATGGTGGGTGGCGCACGAGAGCTGCTGCAGGAGCAGGTGCCAGAGGGCACAGCCCCTACCCAGTGATAAAGACTGGGGGGCTCCAGCCCAGGGGGCTCCGCTGGCCTGGGATCACTGCAGCTGGATTTCATCTCCCTGCAACTTCCTGTCCCGAGAACTCCTAGCACCTGATGCTGTGTCCACAGCACCGAAACGCTGCCCTCGGGCAAGACTAGCACCCTGTGCACACCCAGCGCAGGACCCCTCTCAGTCTGCAGTGACCATTTCCTCCCCTGAGGGGGAAGGAGAGGAACCCGCTAGCGCCTAAGAGGCTGCTGCCCCCTGCTGGGAGCACAGGGCAGTGGCGACAGCCGGCAGCAAGGTCACCCTCCCAGGTGGACAGAGGTCACACAGCTCCTTACCTCACTGCCTACGTGGTAGGACTGAAGAAACGCTCTGGCTAGGTCTCAGCCCTACTAAACGTCCCCAGCTTATAGTTCTGCGTCCAGTCCCAATGTCGTCACAGCAGCTGGGTTGACCTCCCTTCCTGAAACCCAAGGGCCCGACAACTTCCGAACCCTCAGTTGTCACTCTAGACGGGACAGTGCAAGGAGCCCCAGAGCTAGTGCCTGGACGATCCAGAACACAGGCGAGGAGAGGAAAGCCTGGCAGTCTGCGGAAGCCGGGCAGCTCAGGGTGCTGGAGAGGAGCAGAGCACAGAGGAGCTGGTGCTGGGGAGACCTGCTGTGGCTCCTTGTCTCAGCACACCCTAGGAGCTGACACCCAGCTGGGAATAGTCTGCTCCCCACAATCATTGTGGAAAAACCTTGAAACACTCAGCACAGGAAAAATGAGAAAGGCGGTGTTTCCAGTGACTCGGGACTAGGCATGCATGTCAGGTGGGGTAAGGGAAGTGCTCTGCACAGATGGGTCCTCCACAGCTGAAGCATGTGTCGGAAGCATCTGGGGGAAAGTGCCTTATTCAGCTTCTGCCTCCGGAATCACCTCGCCCCACTCCCTGGCACCTTCGCTTCATGGACATCTGCCCGCCTGGCGTCTTCCCTGGGCTTTGCTCGTATGATCAGAAAAGGACACCTTTCCTTCCTTAGGATTGATAACTAAGAATTCTAGCTGGGAGGGTGAGTGCTGGTGGCCATCTTTTTCACATGCGGGGGGACTGATGCCAACCCATAAGAAAGCAGAAGCCTCTTAATCCATCTATACCTGAATTGTTCTGGAGTTTTCAGTTATGTTATTTTTTTTCTTCTGGGTTTCAGTTAGTTTACATTTGTATCTTTTTAATCAAGTGTGCCTGGCCGACATACTGTCACAGTGTGACCCATGTTATTCTAAGAAATTGAAGCAGGTTACAGATATTCACAGAAGAGAAACAAAAATAAATTACGAAAGTAGAATGAGGGACCAGCAGATGGCATAATGGTTAAGTCGCTGGACTCTCATGTAGTTGATCATGGTTCGAGTCCTGACCCAGTGGATTACAGCTGTGTGCATGTCCAAGATCCTGAGAGGAGAATGGAGGAGAAGGGATTGCGGCATGGCCATCCCCCAGGAGGGGGGTAGAAGGTGGGGGGGGGGTGGGAAGGTCTCTCTGTCTCTGGTGAGCACACGCCCACTATAGCAAACATCTCTTAAGAAAAGGAGAGAGAAAAAGAATGAAATGAAAGTAGATTACTATGACACAGCCAGGGCATCATTACACACAAAGATGTGTCATGACACACTGGCGTGACAGTGCTGCCAGCAGTAGCACGTCTTACCTGATGCTGTCGTGTGGTGGGAAACAGCATGGAAAAGTGTTACTCCATGGTATCTTTGTGAGGACAGAAGCGTTATGGTGTCTCTGTGAGGCCATTCGCGTCCCGGACCCAGTGGCTTAAAACTCACGCTGGGCGCGTGTGCGTGCGTGCCCAAGATCCCAAGAGGAGAATGGAGGAGAAGGGATTGTGGCATGACCATCCCCCTGGGGGGTGATTTCTCACTTTCTGTCTCTAAAAAAAAAAAAAAAATTCACATAAAGGGAAATTTTCAAATCCAGTAGTCAGATTTAGGACTCATCCTGGTGTACAGTCCATGTGAACATTCATAGGATAATTTATACAGGAAAATGCCATTGAACCTGCTCAAAATATACATTTACAGTGCTACTGTTACAGGTAGATATTATGAGCAGGGAGTTCCACTAATGCCAACACATAAAAATACGACATATCGGACTGTTACCAGGGATTGCAGTTAGACCCCTGGTGCGGAGAGGAAAGGTTATCTCATTGAGACCCCTGATGCGGAGAGGAAAGGTTATCCCACTGAGACGCTTGGTCAGCATACCAATTCCCACTCGGGGCAATAAATCGACAGGGACAGAGGAGTCCCCATGGGGATACTCATACCTTGTAAGTCCACACTGGGTGTGAGATCAGGTAACCAAACTCCTTACTTGAGGGAATGGAAACCCACAAATTCAAACAAAGGAACCAACTACAACGATGACCTCCCCTCCTAAATATTCAGGATAAGAGTAACACTTAACCCCATTTCCAGTTGCAGACGTCTTTGGCAGCTGCCTACCATTACGCCTTTCTGGTGTGGGAGTATACTTCTTTTCTGATAAAAATCTTTTCTTCTCTATTTAAAAGTTCTCCTCTCCTACTTCACTTGTGTTTGTGACTTTCCTGTGTCTCAAGGTGGGTCTCTAATTTAGAGATCTGGACCAAAGAACAGAGTATTTCACACAATGCAGCTCGGCTCCCGTCTATTACCAGTACTATAGAGTAACTGCTCTTATCTAACATAAACACACAAAATATAAATGGTAAGTGAGCAATTTTTAATGAAGTAACACCAACCAAATATTGGATGCTCTAAAGATTTTAAAAAAGATTTGAGAAAGAAATGTTTACTAACACACACACATAGGTTCACCCTTCCCAGAGAAAATACACCTGAATGTTTTAGACAGAAGTCACAAAAATGTATTAAATATATCAGCAGTAATTATCTTGCAGCTTAAAAATAAAGAAGTTCCGAAATGTGTATCTATAGATTCATTTTATTTATTTGTTATCCTATGGCCCAACATAAGAGTCTTAAGATAACTGGAAACTGAACTAAGACATGAACATCAGGTAAAATACATGGAAATCACTTTAAAAACTCTGAAACAATAATAAACCTTTAGTCAACATTTTTACAAACTGACTTAGCAAAGAGTTTTTAAATGGATGTGACCATTTTTTTCTAATCAAAAATATTCAGCTTGAAGTCTGTAAGTAACAAGTTTGAAATAAAAGTCCATACATTTATCAAAATTATATTTTAATTTTATACAGAGGTGATTTTAATATTGTAGAGACAACTGTTGTAAGATTTTAAAGGATGGTCATAAAGTAGAATATTTTAACAGTCCATTTATAAAGTTGGTTTAATTACATCATCTTGCTATTATATTACCACAACTTTTCCCTAAACGCTATAGAACATTCTCTGAAGGCGTGTACTCAGGCTTTCCAAGGAAATTCTATAGGGTTGAGAAGGAAAAAAAATCAACAATGAATTATGATTATGCTAAATCCAACATTCCAGAAAAATATATAATTAGGTCAATATATTATTCTACTATCAAATAGGTCATTTTTGTAAAACTAATTTATCACATATGTGACTATCATATGTACTCATTTGCTGTTAAACTGTTCCTTGATTAATCATATTACTAAACCCTATCACTAGATTAACAACAGAAACAGGCTACCAAATAGATACACATAGAACTTTTCAGATTGTCTTTTTTTTTTTTTTTTTTTTGGCTACAGGGTGCATGTGCTTGCCAGAAAGAGGAAGAGGAGAAAGCACCCGCTATGGGAAATGGTCATAATCCCTTCTCCTCCACCTCTTCCTCCTTTCAGAATATTGGGCATGCATACAAATGCGAGCTGCTGGTCTGGGACTTGAACTACATGGCTGGCCAGGTGGGATTGTCCACCTTAACCACCAGACCACAGAGCTGACCCTCAGACTCTTTTTCTTTTAAGAGAAATTTTTTTCTATGGAATGTGTGCACTCACTGGAGAGACAAGAGAGAAGCAGAGAGACATAAAGTGAGAAATACCCCTCAGGGGGATGGCCATACTGCATTCCCTCCTCCTCTATTCTCCTCTTGGGATTTTTGGACACATGTGAACATGCACCAAGTGTGTTTTAAAGGGTTGGGTCTGGAACTTGAACCACGGTTGCCTACATGGGAGTCCAGCTATGTAACCTGATGTAACCCTTAAGCCATCTGCTGGTTCCCCTCAGACTATTTTAACAGAAAGAAATGAATTGTCATAGTGGTAAAAATGTTGCAACATTTTGATCAAATAATCAGCAGAAGCCAGGTGTTAAAATCTATTTCACTCATACAAAGTACCTATGCTACTCTAGTTTAAGTATACTCTCTTCTCCCAGTTTTTTTCTAGCCCATTGCTCTTCTTCCTAGATTTGGAAACTTTTGAAATGATCTTGTTCATTTGTATTTTTTCCCTCTTTTTTAGAATATAATTCCTTAAAGGGAGGAGTTTTTTCTTTGTTGAATTCTGAGCACCTATGTGGGTAGGTATATGTGGGTACTGAGAAAAGTCACATAAAAACCTTTGGGGTTACTGAAACCCTTACATACCCTGACTGGTACCTGTGCACAAACTTGTAAAAACTCGTTGAGCTGTACAGTCCTGATCAGTGTACTTTTTTGTGAGTACATTATAACTTAATTTAAAATAGTGATGAAGGGGAGTGGGTCATAAAGAATATCAAATGTAATGAAGTGGTTTATAAGCATGAAGGGTAAAGAAAAGCATTTAGCTGATTATTTGGGAACTGACTTGGAAATGATCAAAATTAGGCTGAATAGATTACTGGGAGACAAAGCATGATAGTGAAGGGCTAGGCTGTAGCGTGGTGTTTAAGGCAGCTGGATCTCACATGGCAACTGTGCAGTTCAAGTGTCGGACCTGGTGGCTTAAGAAATACTCTGGGTGCATGTGCATGTCTGGTGCATGTGCATGCCTGCCCACAGTCCTGAGGGGAGAGAGAAATGGAGAAGGAATTGTGATGTGACTATTTCCCCACAGCATGGAGGGGTGCTTTTTCACTTTCCCCATTTCTCTGGTGAATACATGTACCCTTTGGCAAAGTGAAAAAACATTAAGAGCTGTCTCAGCTGTTAATAATATACAAACTCACTGGCCCAGCTGCAGTGGTGCAGGCAAGAAGGTGCTGTTACAGGAGGCTGGGGCCCCATGGGGGCCTGGGCTTAGCTCCTGGATCAACCTGAGCAGGCTGGGGCAGGAATATTATGACACATAAGAGCCTGTTGAAGCAGTAGTGTTTCTCTTTCTTTTGGATTAAAAAAAAAGAATATATACATGTAAAGCATTCTACTTACATGTATAACTGCAAAGATTAGAGGAATAAAAGAAGTTGGAAGTGATAGTTAGAGGGGCCAGCTAGGTGGTTTGGTGGTTGAGGGGGCTGGCTCTCACATGTCCTGCTGTGCAGTTTGAGTCCTACACCCAGTGAGACGTGCTGGGTCTATGTGCATACATGCCCCAAATCCTGAGAGTTGAATGGAGAAGGAATTGCTGCATGGTCATGCCCTATGGAGGGATGCTTTCTCAGCCCCGTCTCTCTGGTAAGCACACATTCTCTATAGTAAATTTTTAAAAAAACAGCAAAGATGACGATTTGGATGCCAGCTGTTTGTGCTCAATGTCACTTGCTTCTCCCTGCTTCTAAGTGTTTTCAGTAGAGCTAAAGTACATAGTTTTGAAATAAAAGTCATGAATTTTTTTTTTTTTGGAGAGGTTTTTGCTATAGGGCGTGTGTGCTCACCAGAGAGAGAGAGAGACAGAAAGCGAAAAATCACCCCCTAGGGGGGATGGCCATGCCACAATCCCTTCTCCTCCATTCTCCTCTTGGGATCTTAGGCATGCACGCATGCACACGCGCCTGGCATGAGTTTTAAACAACCGGGTCTGGGACGTGAACCACGGTCGGCCACGTGGGAGTCCAGCGACATAGCCATTACGCTAACTGCTGGTCCCACACAATTTTTGTAGGCACTGATGAGCTTCCTTCCATTTGTACTGGTTGTACTAATAAGCAATGTACTAATCAAATTACCTGTCGATCTGATCGGTGAGAATTTCTTTTCTTATGAATATCTAATTAACTCAGGATCACGTATTGAAAAGACCCTTCTAGTCTCTACTGCTCTGCAATGCCACCTTTATCCTAATCAGATGAATAAATATTCAAGGAACCGTTTGGTGTTCCCTTTTCCATTCTGTTGATCTACTTGTCTATACTTGTGTCAGTATCATACCACATCGTCTTCACTTTATTACAAATTATAACATGATAAAACCAATCTTTTATTTTTCTTAAAAACTGTCTTGGGTTTCTTTTTTCTCTCTCTCTTAAATGATAGAGCATGTGCAAGAGAGAGAGCATAAGAGAGAGACACCAAGCCCTGACAGGGTCTTCTCACACCATGATCTCCTTTCCCACCACCCCTCTAGCTCCTGAGGGTTTTGGTATGCCCAAGCACACACAGTCATATTTTTAGGCCAATCTAGGGATCTGAATCCACAATCAGCTACATGGTTTCCAGCCTTTCAGGGTTGGAACTGTTGCACCACAGAAACTGGGCCTGTCTTGGCTATTCTTGACCTTTGTATGTTCATATAACTTTGAGAATCTGCTTGCCATGTTCCACAAAAAATATCCTGTAAGGATTTTATAAGGATGGTAACAAATGCATTGAATACAATGGGGAGAACAGATTATCTTTACACTACTGTGTTTTTTAAAAATCCATACATATTTTTGTTGTTGAGTTACAGAAGCTCTTTATATATATCAGATATTAACACCTTATGAGATATATAATTTGTGAATATGCTCCCATTCCATGGGTTACATTTTCACTGATAGTGTCCTTTAGTGTTCAAAAGCTTTTAATTTTGATGAAGTTCCATTTATTTACCTTTCCTTTTGTTGTGATTTTGGTGATATATCCAAGAAATCAATGTTGTGAAGGTTTTCTCTGTGTTTTGTTTTCTAGTACTAATGTTTTAAGTTTTGGGGCCATTTTGAGTTAAGTTTTGGATGTAAGGTAAAGGAATATCCAACTTTATTTTTTATATGCTTCTAAAAATATTTCTTTAGTGGTTGCTCCAAAGATTACAAGATGCATTCTCTGGTTACCAAAGCCTGATATCCACTGGTCCAGGGTAAAAGAGTTCATGTAGCAGATCTGAGACTGCTATCCTTAGAAAGACTTGCTTCCAAAGCCAGCCCTTGGTTGGTGTCTGGGAACCTGGATATCAGTAGGATTCCCACTTGTGCTGGGTGCCCCACTCTGCCAGAACTATTTATACAATGTGCTTTATACTGAACAGATGCTTTCCTTTTGAGAGTCTAGTACTTTAGCGTATGCTAATAGGAGGTACCTACGTGACCACTCCCCAGTAATATCCTTGGGCATTCTTCCTCTAATGAGCTTCCCTGGTAGACAACATTTCACAGGTTGTTGACATTTATGTGATTCTACTGGGAGAGGACACTTGGAAGTTTGTACCTGGCTTCCTCCAGACCTTACCCATGTGTCCTTTTCCTTTGCTAATTTTGCTTTGTGTCCTGTGGGGGTAAATCACAGCTATCAGTATGACTATATGTTGAGTATATGAGGTCTCCTAGTGAATAACTGAGACTGCAGGTGGTCTTGGGACCCCCCATCCACCATATAATAGAACATTATACTCACTTCCCAAGAATGCAATGTGCTTAGAACTGTAAGAGCACTTCCATTTCCTCTCAGTTTACATACTAGTATTGTCATAACCCTATGAGGGAGGGCTGTGGCATAAGACCTTGTTAACAGTGCCTGTCTTTCTTTCATGAAACAGGTACACTTTTCAAAAAAATTATTTTAAAACTTAGTTACATGCTTTACAGTATATTTATTTTATACTTATTTTTGAAAACTATTTTCCTGGGTATAGAATTATCTGATGGCTTCTGTTGAGAATCAGATGTCAAGCTAAATGTTGCATTCTTAATGCAAATCTTTTCCCCTCCAGCTGCTTTATCAATAAATATATATATATGTATGTGTGTGTGTATATGTACATATATATATAGGCTATTACTGAGTTGTTACTTTTAATTTTTAATAATGGAGTTTCCATTAAAAATTTTTGTTTCTACTGAAATTCCTTTTCTTTTTTTTTTTAAGTGAGACTTGTGCTATAGTGTGCATAGGGTTCCTTAAATGTCTGTTCTTCTGAAGACACACACACACAGACAGAGAGAGAGATAGAGAGAGAGAGAAAGAGAAATCACTCCCCAGGGGGGATGGTCATGCTGCAATCCCTTATTGTCTATTTTACTCTCAGGACTTTGGGCATGCATGCACACATGCCTGGTGTGAGCTTCAAGCTGCCAGGTCTGGGATTTTAACTGTGGTCAGCCATGTGATAGTCCAGCAATGTAACAATTATGCCATCTGCTGGTCCCTCTACTGAAATTCTTAACCTTGTCTTTTGTGTCCTTGGGCAAAGGGATCGGTTCACCTTTTTTTTTTGAGGTTTTTGCTATAGGGTGCGTGCGCTTGCCAGGAAGACAGAGAGACAGAAAGAGAGAAATCACCCCCCGGGGGGATGGCCATGTTGCAATCCCTTCTCCTCCATTCTTCTCTCAGGATCTTGGGCCCACACGCTTATGTGCCTGGTGTGGGTTTAAGCCACTGGGTCTGGGACTCAAACCATGGTCGGCTACATGGGAGTCCAGCGACTAAGCCACTACACCAACTGCTGATCCCGGATCAGTTCACTTTTACTATGTAGCAAATCACCTTCCAAACTTAGTAACTTAGGGACCAGCAAATGGCATAATGGTTACATCACTAGACTTCCAGATGGCCAACCACGGTTCAAGTCCTGGATCTGGAGGCCTGAAACTCACGCTGGTTGTGTGCGTGTGCAATCCCAAATCTGAAGAGAATGAAGGAGAAGGGACTGCGGTGTAGTCATCCCCTCTGGGGAATGATTTCTGGTTTTCTGTCTTTGCAGTGAATGCATCTCTAAAACAAACAAACAAACAAACATCTCAGTAGCTTAAAATAACCATCTTTCTAGTCTAACTCTGGCTAATTTGGGTAATTCTTCTCAAGCATCTACAGACAGTTGTCATGCTGGCGTGGTTCATCTGCTGTAGGTTCCCTCACATGTTCAAGGGTGGCAGGCTGCAGGCTGGAATGCCTCGGCCACCTTCCATGTAGCCTCTTTTGTTCTCTAGCAGGGCATTTGGGCTTCTTTGCATGGCTATAATAAACTTCCCAGACAGGGCAGAGTGATCAAGGCCTTTTGAGGAGTAATGGTATAACTTGTCAAAGCAAGTCATAAAAGAAGTCCAGATTCAAGAGGGTAGGAAAATGGACTTTTATTCATGATGAAAGGAGCTTCATGTAATTACTCTCATTGAAAAGAATGTGGCAAAATGACAGAGTGTGACTCCTGAGGATAGGTCACAAAAGATAATGCTAATTTCCATCTTGCTCAGGGGAAGCTGTTACCATGAAGAACAGACATTTTAGGAACCTTATGGAAAGGCCCAATATGGTAGGAATTGAGGTCACCTGCCAACAGTCATGTGAATGAGGCATCTCAGCAGATCCTCCAATGTCAGTCAATCTAGGTTGCCATCTCAACTGCAACATCATGAGAGACCCTGAGCTAAATCTACTGAGCTAAGATTTGCAGATCATGACATAATGAATGTCATGCAATTCAACCAATTTTGAGGTAATTTGTTTTAATATTTGACTAATATAGTATGCTTATGATTAACTGTTATATTCCTATTTTAATTGTCAGAAGGCGTGGCAACTAGCCATGGTGGGAGGTGAGGGCAAAGAGAGGGAAGGAGAAAGGGAGAGAGAAAGCACCCGTGATGATATATGGTCGTGCCATAATACTTTTACCTCTATTTCTCCATCCCATTAGAATTTTAGGCATACACACACACACACACACACACACATACGGACGCACATGTACATGCCTTGTGTGTTTTTCAATCCCTTGTTGGGATGCAAACTGTGGGCAGCGTTGAGGGATCTGGCTCCCTATGCACAAAGTTTAACTGCTGCACTCTGGGATTGGCCCTATTGTTGTTATTATTTTACAGATGCTTTTTGACTTACAGTGGGTTTACATTTCGATAAATCCGTCACAAGTTAAAAATGAATATTTTAAGTTGAAAAATGCATTTAATATACCTAACCTATTAAGCATTAGAGTTTAGTCTAGATTACTGCAGATCATGGATTGATTACCTTCATGACTATGCAGCTGTCTGAGAGCTATGGTTTGCCCTCACTGTCCAGTATTCACAGAACAGTACAATATAAGAGAGTATAGTGGGACCAGCAGTTGGAGTAATGGCTATGTCCCTGGATTCCCATGTAGTTGACTGCGGTTCAAGTCCCGGACCTGGTGGTTTAAACTCACGCTGGGTGTGTGTGCCCAAGAAACCAAAGAGAAGGGACTGCGGCAGGGCTATCTCCCCTGGGGGGTGATTTCTCGCTTTCTGTCTCTCTCTGTCTTTCTGGCAAGTGCACATGCCCTATAGCAAAAACTTCTCAAAAAAAAAAAAATAGAGAGATTATTGTATAGCCTGTCTCTAGCTCAGAAAAAGATAAAAATTGGCAAAACTTTCCAGAACGCTCGGTGAGGAGCTGAGGAGCAGCGGCTGCCCGAGCTGCGCACAGCTATGCGCACCTTCCCGCTCCCCCACGCCGGCCTCAGCCTGCTCACCGGCAGTAGAAAATGGTGAAAGAAACGACTTACTCTGATTAGAAAATGGTGAAAGAAACGACTTACTATGATGTTTTGGGGGTCAAACCCAATGCTACCCAGGAAGAGTTGAAGAAGGCTTACAGGAAACTGGCCTTGAAGTACCACCCTGATAAGAATCCAAATGAAGGTGAGAAGTTTAAACAGATTTCCCCAGCTTATGAAATTCTCTCTGATGCGAAGAAAAGGGAATTAAATGACAAAGGAGGAGAGCAGGCAATTAAAGAGGGTGGAGCAGGTGGTGGTTTTGGCTCCCCAATGGACATCTTTGATATGTTTTTTGGAGGAGGAGGAAGGATGCAGAGAGAAAGAAGAGGTAAAAACGTTGTACATCAGCTGTCAGTAACCTTAGAAGATTTATATAATGGTGCAACAAGAAAACTGGCCCTGCAAAAGAATGTGATTTGTGACAAATGTGAAGGCCGAGGTGGTAAGAAAGGAGCAGTAGAGTGCTGTCCCAATTGCCGAGGTACTGGAATGCAAATAAGAATTCATCAGATAGGACCTGGAATGGTTCAGCACATTCAGTCTGTGTGCATGGAGTGCCAAGGCCATGGAGAGCGGATCAGTCCTAAAGACAGATGTAAAAGTTGCAATGGAAGGAAGATAGTTCGAGAGAAAAAGATTCTAGAAGTTCATATTGACAGAGGCATGAAAAACAGCCAGAAGATAACATTCCATGGTGAAGGAGACCAAGAACCAGGACTGGAGCCAGGAGATATTATCATTGTACTAGATCAGAAAGATCATGCTGTTTTTACTCGGTGAGGAGAAGACCTTTTCATGTGTATGGATGTACAGCTGGTTGAAGTATTGCGTGGCTTCCAGAAACCAATTTCCACACTCGACAACCGAACCATAGTCATCACCTCTCATCCGGGTCAGATTGTCAAGCATGGAGGTATCAAGTGTGTGTTAAATGAAGGCATGCCAATTTATCGTAGACCATATGAAAAGGGTCGCCTAATCATTGAATTTAAGGTAAACTTCCCTGAGAATGGCTTTCTGTCTCCTGATAAACTCTCTTTGCTGGAAAAACTT